ACTTGGTCATCTAATCGAAATCAACTTGTTCAATCTCGAATAGATCGCTTCCTGATTAGCGGTGAGTGGGAGGCTAAGTACTCTGATGCTATTCAAAGGAGATTGGGAAGGGTGTATTCTGATCATTTCCCTATTTTGTTAACTGGGAACACTAGGGGTAGTGGTCTAAGGTCTTTTAGGTTTGAGAAGATGTGGTTAAAAGTAGAAGATTTTGGGGAGCATGTATGAACTTGGTAGGCTTCCTATGATTTCTCGGGGACTCCCAATTTTATATTGGATCAGAAGTTGACGACATTAAAAAGGGATTTAAAAAGATGGAATGAGGAGGTGGTGGGAAATGTGAACTTTTGTATGGTCCAGTGTTTCCGATATTGAAGAGTTGGACAATATTGAGGAGAGTCGAAGGTTGGGTGGGGATGAGAAGGAGAGACTTGGTGTATTAAGGGAAGAGCTTGTGAGATTGGTGGAGATAGAAGAGATTGCTTGGCGCCAAAAATCTAGGGTCACGTGGTTGAAAGAGGGAGATAAATGTACTAAGTTTTTCCATAGGGTGGCCAATTCTAACATGCGCAACAATTCTGTCACAGTGTTGGAGGTGAATGAGGTTACTTATGAGGATCCACAGGATATTAGGACCCATATGGTAAGATTCTACCAGAATCTATATCGGGAGCAGTTTGAGTGGAGGCCAGAGTTGGAGGGATTGGAGTTTTCTACTATTTCGAAGGAGGATGCTGGATGGTTAGAGAGACAATTTGGGGATGATAAAATTAAGGAGGTGGTGTTTAGTATGAATGATGATAAGGCTCCAGGACCAGACGGGGTTTTCATTCTCTTTTTATAAGGCGTGTTGGGAGGTGGTGCGACAAGAGATTCATGATGTTTTCACTTACTTTTTTGAGCGGGGCAGGTTTTTGAGAAGTTCTAATGCAACATTTATTGTGTTGATCCCTAAGAAAACTGGAGCGACTGATATTAAGGATTTTCGCCCTATTAGCCTTGTTAGTGGAGTGTACAAGATTTGCGAAAGTCTTAGCGAACAGACTTAAGGAGGTGCTTGGGAGAGTGGTGTCTAAGTTTCAGAATGCCTTCGTGAAAGGTCGTCAAATCACAGATTCTGTTCTTATAGCGAATGAATGCATTGACTCGAGATTGCGCCAAGGGTTTCCAGGGATGCTTTGCAAGCTCGATGTTCAGAAGGCTTATGATCACGTGAACTGGAGGTTTCTTCTGTATATGCTTAGGCGATGTGGATTTGGAGATAAGTGGTGTAAGTGGATTCAGTTCTGTATCTCTACTGTCTCTTTCTTTGTTTTGGTTAACAGTACCCCTAAGGGTTATTTTCGGAGTAGCAGAGGGTTAAGGCAAGGGGATCCATTATCTCCATTGCTGTTTGTGATTGTCATGGAAGCTTTCAGTAGGATGCTCGAGAAAGCGATGTGGGAGAGTTTGATAAAGGGTTTTATGGTTGGTCAACTGCAGGTGTCTCACTTGTTATTTGCAGATGACACTGATTTTATGTGACGCAGATGGGGAGCAATTCAGGAACTTACGCTGATTACTCCTTTGCTTCGAAGTGGTGTCTGGATTGAATATTAATCTGGGGAAATCTGAGGTTATTTCAGTAGGGGGAGGTCACTAACGTGGATGAACTAGCTGTTATTTTGGGTTCTAGGGTGGCGCAATACCTTTCATAACTAGGACTCCCTTTAGGGGTATGATTTAAAAGTATTAACATCTGGAATACTATCGTTGAAAAGGTAAAAAGGAGGTTAGCGGGGTGGAAGCGTATGTATTTTTCGAAGGGAGGTCGTCTTACTCTCATTAAGTCTACTCTTTCAAATATCCGTACTTATTTTTTGTCACTGTTTCCGATTCCTGTCGCAGTGGCAAATAGATTAGAGAGGATTTAAAGGGAATTTCTGTGGGCAGGGTTGTGAGAAGAGAGGAAACTTCATTTGGTTAATTGGGATCCTATTTGCTCTCCTATGAGGATGGGTGACCTCGGATTGAGGAGGCTCATATTGTTTAACAAAGCATTACTGGGTAAATGGCCATGGAGATTTGTAGTGGAGAGGGAGAGCTTTTGGAGAGAAATAATTGGGGCGAAGTATGGAGTGATGGAGGGGGGTTGGTGTTCGGGTGAGGGTTGAGGGTCGTATGGGGTGAGCTTGTGGAGGTATATTCGTCGAGGTTGGAGCGACCTTCGGGACAGATTGACTTTTGTGGTTGGGAATGGTAACAGTAGATTTGGGAGAATAATTCTTGTATATTGAACAATGTAAAACTACAAGTATATACATGAAAGAAAAGAAAAACAAGAAATTGCACTTTAGTCCCTAACAATTAACAAAAGCTACAAGTTAGTAACAAAGATTAATATATCTTCCAACTCTCCCCCTCAAGTTGGTGCATAGATATCACGCATGCCAAATTTGGATGTCATTGTATAGAATGGACCACTAGCAACTCCATGTGTCATTATGTGCCTGTTTGGCACCCGTTTTTTTTTTGTGATTTTTTAGGTAACTTCTCATTTTTCTACAGTAATTGTCAGAGAACACAGCCAGCATTTGAATCAGTTGTCAGATATGTGCACAGAATCATAAAGCCGTTGAAATATTGGACTAATTTGCCCGAGTTAAATGTTTCAATGCACACCGAACTTTCGGTAATGTCACGTTTTACTCATTGTACTTTAACTTGCACTCTATTACTCACTGAACTTTATACCATTGCACTCCATTACTCACTAAGGAACTCCCGTCATTAATCAATGCACACGTGGATCACGGATTTTACAGCTGGAAGTTAAATGCCATGTCATTTCTCCCAAACATCAACCAAACACTCCACACCCAAATCAATTGAAGTCGTGAGATGAAACCTTTCTGTCAAATGCACGACCTCTATCAACCATTGCAGAAGCAGCTCCCAAATCTGAGAATCCGGAATTGTCTTGAACCCAAAAGATCTGCACCCAGAAACGAGGAGCTTTTCTTTTTCAGCATGAACATGAAACGTTTTATCCCTAAAGGTTCTCTCTTTAGTGGGCAACTTGTTTCAAAGAATTGTTTCGGTTTTCTTGATCATTCAAAGATATGTTTTGAATCAGTATGATTCTTGTTCTTTTTAATGTTTCTAGTACAAATGATCATTAACTTGGCTACCATTTCAATCAGATCTGTGCTTCCAGTGATTGTTGAAACCGTAGACATGGATAGAACACCTTAGTTTGCTGACACTCGGATGGAAGATGAAATAATGGAAGAACACCATTTGGAGAGGAGAGGCTCACGGTTTCAATTCAATGGGGCTAAGTCTTGTTTGGAAATGATACTTTAAATGAGTTGGCATTTGATTTTTTATTTTGGAGAGAGCTTATGCATTCCATCATCCACGTAGGCACAAGTTATAAACGGAAGTTAGCCGATGTGTAACGGAGTGCAAATGTATAAATTTTAGTAAGTAATGGGGTGCAATTTGAAGTTTAATGAGTAAATCGTGACATTATGCAAATTTCGGTGTGCATTCAAACATTTAACTCAAACAAAACTATTGCACTTGCTTCCCTTTCTATTTCCTCTCAAGTCATCTGCCAAATTAATGTAAAACTCGGCGCCTTCAAAATGGCAGCTGCCACGATGACTGTACACCGTGTCATGTCCAATTTTTACCCTTCTTCCCAGCCCAGTGGTGGGTTTGGGCGATCGAGAGAGTTGGCCACCGCGTGCTGCGAGGTGGGTGTTGGGGTGGCGGAAAGACGGTGGTAGTGAAGAATGGAAACGATTCCCTTGAAATATGCAGAGTGCTTAATGGGATGTGGCATACCAGTGGCGGATGGGGGCAGAATCGACCGAGACAACGTCGTGGAAGCTATGTTCAAATACGTTGCGCTGGTCTCTCCACCTTCGACATGGCTGACCATTGTATGCCCTCACCCACCTGAATTATGGATTTTTTCTATATTTTTTTATGGGCGCGTTTGATCTTGCTTAAAAGCGAAAGTCGGACATTTTTTGCACCCTTAAAAGTGTAAGAAATTTGTTATTTTGTTAAGAAATATAGAGTTAATATATATGGCTATTTTATTTTAT